GTGTTTAGCTGTAATTTTCCTCTTACTCATTTAATGTACCCACACATATTATATACTGTTTTTTTCGTATTAAATGGTCTTTCTAAAGATACCATTATTTTCATCATATCATATAATTTACTTTAAAAATAATGATAAAATATGATCCAAAAAATGTTTTAAAACACTTTTTCTAATTAATCTGTTACACATCTAAAACTGCCAAAAAACACCCATGCTAAATAGTTTCTAAATTTCGTCCCGAGTTTAGAAATACCCAATGTTACCATGTACTTAGCTTTTTTTGGAAAGTTATTGGGCTATAAGTAGAAGTAGAACTTCCAAACCTTTTTGTTTCCAAAATTAACGCAAGTTACATTGTAACACTAATATCTGTCAGGAATCCCTGAATAACCTTTCACATGTATATATTTTTTAAAAGAAGACAACCTAAGGTATTAAACTAATCTATGCCAAATAAAAAAATAAAAACATGATTGGTGATTTTTTTTTATATACATAGCAATTTAAGAATATATGTACTGATAACTTTAAGTGTTACTGCCAAAGAACGCCATAATATGTGTTCAGTAACGTCTCCCAAGTACAGTGATACCACCCATGTATAGGTGTGCCGGTTTCTCTGGGGGCTAAAAGACCGTATTTGGAGAGTGTGCATTCCAGTTTTCCAACTTGGAATTTTCACCGCTGGTCATCATGTACCCATGTCCTATTTGGGACATTTTTGAAGTCAGCCAATGTCATTTATTATTTGTAAAAGTAGACATCCCTGAGTATTCAATATACAGTATGTCCAGTCTCTTTTAGTAGCCACTGTCACAAACACTGGCCAAAGTTAGCATTTATATTTGTTTGCGTGTTAAAAATGCAAAAAACTATTTTGAAGGCTAAATTTGGCCAGTTTAAAGCAAAAAGAAGGACCACAAGAGTCCTGAGTAGGAGAGTAATATGAAAAAGGGAAAAGGGAGTCCCTACCTTTTAATGATTCTAAAGATACACACAGCAGGACAGGTAGGAAGAGATATAGCGAAAAAGAGCCTTCCAGAATAGACACAGGAAACCAGTTGCTAAAAAACTGCCTGCTAAATGTCTAAAATCCAAATGGCACGCCCTCTAAGTCTTCCCAAAAACAGGGGCCCTAATAGGAAAAAGGGGTAACTGAAAAAATAGGGGAAGGGAGCAATAAAAAGGAGATGCCCCAAGGAATAAATCTTAGGCAGAAAGCCCCTATGGAAGTCCACTTTCCCTAGTTACCTCGGCACTGTGATAAATCACCAGTGCCTACCAAAAGACCCTGTCCCTGCCTGTCAAGGATAAATAATAACTGATAAAGTAAATTAAATTAAATCAATCCATCAGTGCTACCAAAAAAGTGCAAAACAAAGAAAATAAAATAAAAAGAAGCTCGACGCGCGTTTCAGCGTTTCAACACGCCGTCGTCCTGAGGGAAAGTGGACTTCCATAGGGGCTTTCTGCCTAAGATTTATTCCTTGGGGCATCTCCTTTTTATTGCTCCCTTCCCCTATTTTTTCAGTTACCCCTTTTTCCTATTAGGGCCCCTGTTTTTGGGAAGACTTAGAGGGCGTGCCATTTGGATTTTAGACATTTAGCAGGCAGTTTTTTAGCAACTGGTTTCCTGTGTCTATTCTGGAAGGCTCTTTTTCGCTATATCTCTTCCTACCTGTCCTGCTGTGTGTATCTTTAGAATCATTAAAAGGTAGGGACTCCCTTTTCCCTTTTTCATATTACTCTCCTACTCAGGACTCTTGTGGTCCTTCTTTTTGCTTTAAGTTTTCTCATTGAGGGTTATTCCCCATTTTGGGAGAGTAATTTCAGGACTACTTAGCACTTATTCATCGGTCGGAGCCACGACCCCTGAATCAGAGCTACCCCTTTTCATAAATTTGGCCAGTGTTTGTGACTAATTGGCAACTAAAAAAGACTGAACATACCCCATTTGCAATACCTTGGGTTGCCTTCCTTTGCAAATGGTACGCCATCATGGGAGTAATTCTCATTCCTGGGCTACTATAATCTCTGATCTCTGAAAGGCAACATAAACTGTCTGGCAAATTTCAGTGTGAAAAAATGGCCTTATGTTTGACCCTGTTACTTTCAAAAACACTATAAAACCTGTACATAGGGGGTACTGTTATACTCAGTAGACTTTGCTGAACACAAATATTAGTGTTTCAAAACAGTAAAACATATCACAGTGATGATTATTATCATCACTGTGATATGTTTTACTGTTTTGAAACACTAATATTTGTGTTCAGCAAAGTCTACTGAGTAAAACAGTACCCCCAATGTACAGGTTTTAGGGTGTCTTGGAAAGTTACAGGGTTAAATATAGTGCTACCAAATTAAATTCTCTGGACTTTTGGCCTGGGTTGTCAGGCAGCTCCCCCAAATTGCAATAAATAAAATTACTTAATTATGTAAAAATATTACCTAAATATGTAGATAGAATTTAAATATATATACATATTTATATATTTGAAATATATGTGTATATTTATGAAATTATTTATGTAATTATGTATATGGACATATGTATATTTTGTATTATTTTTATTTATATATATATATATATATAAATAGCGAAGGCTTGCACTCCTGGTGTAATCCTGTGGTGCCCGGTGCTGGTCTGGCAAGGATCATGTAGACATAGCAGAAATGACCGCACTCCAAGGACTTTATAGAGATTTTCAAATAAAATTTAGCTTTTATTCAATCCATTTAAAAAGTCAACGTTTCAGCTCCCACATGGAGCTTTCATCAGGACAAAACATGTTTTGTTTTGTCCTGATGAAAGCTCCATGTGGGAGCTGAAACGTTGACTTTTTAAATGGATTGAATAAAAGCTAAATTTTATTTGAAAATCTCTATAAAGTCCTTGGAGTGCGGTCATTTCTGCTATGTCTATATATATATATATATATATAATTTCATTCTAAATATTTATTTTATTTATTTATAAAAAAATTTTAACAGGAAAGATACATTGAGATTTCTCTCGTTTTCAAGTATGTCCTGGGTCCAAAAAACATTGCATTGATACATTAGGGAACAATAAAATACAAAAACAATATTAATACACAATATATACAACATTTAACATAGAACAGTTAGGAAATTTATAATCAACCATAACACGTGCATTCTGTTTTGAGGTATGTAGAGAGGGATCTTTTAAAGGACTTTAGGCTTGGGGAAGATTTTAAAGTGTGCGGGAGGTCGTTCCATAATTGTGGCGCTCTGTAGGAAAAGGAGGATCGGCCGCTTTCTTTTTGCATTGAGGTAGACTAAATAAAGTGCTGATACTGGATCGAAGGTTATAGGAGGTGGGAACAGCCGGAGAGAGCATTCTGCTCAGGTAGGGTGGGAATTAATAAAAAAATACACTTAGTATGATGTTATATAAGATATATATATATATATATATATATATATATATATATTATAGATGTATAATATATATATTTATATATATATATATATATATATATATATATGTAGAAAAGTAGATAGCACTCCAAGGTCTCTTTTCAATAAGAATTAACTTTTAATTTTCCAAGTATAAAAATCAACGTTTCAGTCTGAAGATTCAGACTTTCATCAGGACAAGGTTAAACATTACATTGCACATCTATATATACCCACACCACATCAACAATAATCAAATAAACTTACCCCACCTGGATAGAGGCATCCCATCACGAGCTGCCCGGTCCGTGTTCGCGCCGAAAATGCCGGTCGCGTTTTGATGACATCACGCCGCATGCGTCAATCACGTGCCCGGCCGCTCGTCAGGGGTATCCATGGAAACCGGACGCTCATGTGTTACGGTTAACCCGAACCTGATCTAAATGCCTCTATTCTCCAAGTTTCCCAAGACAAGTCTACATCAAATCTATTAAAAAGAAATAGTAATTGTAAATTAAAAATTAAAAACATTAAACCAAGCTGGAGGTATCTAAAGGATACAGGTGTCTATGGGGGCACTATTGTACCATAGAAAAGAAGACACAATAGCTACTGAAGATAGGAATTATCACTGTCATGCTTCTTAATGTCCTAACAGCATATATGCCACTGGAAATCCGACCAAGAGCTATAACCGAAGTGTGAATAAAGTCATTATATTGAGTCACTGTTAAATGTTTCTCTTATTAGAATACATTTATATTTACATATTTACACAACCACATCGAAATACCGGTTGCTCCATTATATTAAAAGGACAGTTACTGCTATCATATCACTCTGATCTTGCAACCTTACTATCACATGAACCAAATTCTATCAATTGTAACCAAAGGTTCATACAGTCAAAATCTCATATTCATGTAATATCAGGCCGTATTTCTCCAAAGAAATCTACCTAAAAGAATATATTGAAATCATCGCCATTATATAAGCAACAAGAGTGAATTTTTCTTGATTCTACTAATATACCTATATTTTGAACATCTTCAAAAATCTTTTGAGGCATAGTTTGAAACATCTTACGTTTGTCAAACACAGAAGACTTATATTCCTGTGGTTAAAAAGTGTTTGACTTTTTATGGAGGATTTTTTTACTTTGGCTGGAGGGCTGACTGAACAGGCTGAACTATGGCAATATAATGACTCAGATGCTGATAGGATCAGGTGGTCGGAGACTACCACAGATTTACCAAGCACTGTTACTCTACGGGAGATTTATTTCGAATTACTGAGATTAAAAAAACGTGAAACAGATTTAGACCTAAACGGATTATTTTTATCCGAATATCATAAGAAACTACAGATACCCAGGGGCTTCAGAGTGAAGAACATCCCCACGATAGGGAGACTGAAGCCGAAGGTTTGTAGAAAATGGATCGTTGTACTGAACAAATGCTCACTTGACCTAATGCTGGTCATTATCGAAGACGTAAGAGAGGACCTGGTACAGATACGTAGAAAGATTACGGAACTAGAGACACAACAGACATTACTCTTATCATCTGTAGAAGCCGCACCGACTCTCTTAAAATTGGAAGACAATGTTAAACAGTACAAAACAGATCTTGTACGCTTTAAGAGAGAAAAACAAGAAAAGGTAGCAGCTGACTATAAGGAACACACGGTATACAGATGGTTGAGTGGACATAGTGAACGTCCGAGATTTGCAAGAAAACGCAGATTCATACGCAAACCAAGGCAATTCACTATTGATAAAACCTCGGGCGAGTAAGTTTATTTGATTATTGTTGATGTGGTGTGGGTATATATAGATGCAATGTAATGTTTAACCTTGTCCTGATGAAAGTCTGAATCTTCAGACTGAAACGTCGATTTTTATACTTGGAAAATTAAAAGTTAATTCTTATTGAAAAGAGACCTTGGAGTGCTATCTACTTTTCTACTTACATTTTTGCCGATCAGCACCGGGCAGTTATTGGAGAATTTCAGGGAGTGCAGCATTTTTTGAATTTTTTATATATATATATATATATATATATCATATATACATATATATTTTTCTTACATTTATTAAGTTTATTTATTTGCAGAGGGGGACTATCTGGGCTGTCAGACAAAGAAGAACTACGATCGCCAGCAGGGGAAAGGCGGCGATCGGGTAAGTACAAATGGAGTGAGAGGGAGGGAAGGGTTTAATTTTTTTTTTTTTCTGAGTGCCTCGACCCCTCGAAGTACTCAGCACAGGCAGAGCATCGGAATCCTGCCTGATGGCTTCCTATCCTCTGCCTCACTGCCGGGTTCCACGTGGGGTGGCCCGGCAGTGAGGGGGTGGGGTATAGCAGGATGCCTCATCATCGAGGCATCCCTGCAATACCGTTAGAGTGTCTGTAAGCTATCATGATAGCTTTCAGCACTCTAATTAGCCGCGGAAGTATCACATACGTGTTTTTTGTCGGATGTACCTGATACGTCCTTGGTCACTAGGGGGTTAAAGGTACGATAAAGGCACTATAACTATTTAATTTTATTGAATTGATTATATTACCTAGAAACCTCTGGCACTGTCTCACCACTAGAGGAATGTCTTCAGCAGATATTGCACACTTCCTCTAAGCCATTACAATTCATACCAGCAATGGGTACTTTGATTGGCTAAAGGTAGTCAGCTGACACTACGAGTCAAAAAGCTTTAACACTGAATGGAAGGATGGTACCAGTGGATTTCAGACACTATAACCACTTCAATGAGAATAAGCAATTGCAAGCCTTCAGTCTCCAGTCAAGTTGAGTAACCTTATAAAAAAAAACACAGCTTCTTTAAATCTTTTTTATTTATATTTAAAAGTATCAACCACTTTCTCTTTTGCATGTAAAGAAAAATTTAAATTTAGTAGGTGCAAAACTGACCATATTGGGGTAAATTTACAAAGCACAAAAAATAACTAAGCTTAAAAGACATACATAAAGCACAACAGACAAAAGCAACATTTATGCTTCTGTTTTCTTTAGTGGAACTTAAATGAGTACATTTTATTTCTGGTATACACCTAAAGTCAGTTCACATTAGACAACTTACAACTAGTTAAACATTATACAGATCCAGTAGGTGTAGTATTTACTCCTAAAACCTTTTTATTTCATGCCTGCAAGTAAACGGTTAATGATATCGAGATTTTACATTATCCTATGAATTGTTTTCACTCTTTTAAACAGCTTTCTAACACCATTTCAGTACACATGTGGCAACTAGTAAATATAATTTTTATTTAACTTTATTAAGTTAAGAAAACACAGCAACCCACACGATTACATTCACATTGTGTTTAAACAGTAATTCATATAAATCCCAGCCTTGTGCACAACATGGTTTACCAAATTTTAGTAATACGGGGTACAAGTACTAAATACACTTGGAGCAAGGCTGTCATTGTGTAATACCGATATCTAAAAATTAATATATTGTTTATGAAAAGAAAAATGTAAATCTTGACAAAAGACTATTTTGTTTCTTTTAGTGTGTGTCAGTAGTTAGTAAAAATATTTTGATCTTGTTGTCCTTTTCAAGCTTTTTCATGATACATGGTATCTCTAGTGCTCTTTAAAATATGTCTACCGTCGGATTTTCAAATTTATTTTAAAGAAACTATATATGTTTTTACAAGCAACATGCTTGTCTCAGCTTAATGACTGCTGACTGCTTACAATAGGTATCAATTTATCCCACAAAAGATAATGCTAGGTGAGCAAAAAGTCAATCATTAATATCATTATCCTCTGCAAATGTCAGTTTTTAAAATCTTTAGGCACCATTTATTTCTTAAAATAAATATGCCAGTTCAAAGAGCACAATAGAATGACCTAAATAAGATTCAGTTTCTATATCAATAAAAAATGAATATTTCCAAGAGGGGAAAAATACCTAGTTTCTTTTGAAAGTGAGAAACAAGTAGTGTGCATTTCAAATTGTGTGGAATTAACTCACATGCCCTCATTCTGTAAAACTGCCTGAATATAAGATATGCTGGTGTACACATTTTGGTTGAATAAATTTCTGATCTGAAAATACCTGGTGTTGCGACACCATTCCTTTTATTCTGAACATAAGATGTTGGAATTTGAATTAATTCTCATTCACAGAGCCACCACAGACTTGTGAATGTCTGTCTAACATGTCATCATTTCAACTACTGTGTAAATTAGCTGCTTTTATAAAAAAGCATGTACGAATGTACATGTATAGGACACTTTATACAAATAAAAATTATGAGTAACAAAGAAGGAAAGCAAAACGCAGGTTTTTGCATCACAAGAGAAAAACACTATTTAATGGTACTGCCAGCTCAAAATCTGAACAAATATTTTTAATGCTTTTTATAGATATAAACAAAATATTGGCATAATTGCATTAAAAAAAAAAATCTGTATGCTTACTTTTTAGAATATCTGGCAGGCAGATGCTTCCCACACCAGGTTCAGCATAACATTCTAGCCTATAGAAACATATCTTACTTAACACATAAATCCCTATCGAGCAAAATAATTTTTGGTTAAGTAATTTTTCCGAAGGAGAAGTAGATATCATTACATAGGGAGATTTCAACATGCTTTTTAAAATTATTGCAGTCATATATAGGGTGCAATCAGTTTATTCACAGCCTTGTTAATTGTTTATTGAACTTGGCAATGATTTAGAGGCAAATATCACATTGGCGCAGTCCACTGTTAACTTTGGGAGAGGAATAGACCTTTCCCTGTTTTGCACGTGGATACTCATGCTGCCTGAACAAATAAGAATAAGATTGATATAAGCAAACAGGAAGCAAACAGGAAGCAAACAGGAACTAACAAGATTATTTACTTTACTAGTTGAGAATTTCAAATTTAAGGTCAAAACAGGAAACTGAAAAAATTCAGTTATATTCAAGTTAGCTTAAATCTGAAATTCACATTGAATGCAACATTCTTTTGGTGCATAGACTGGCCTTCTAAACTGAGATCAAACCCTCAAATTTTAAACTTGACTAAGCCGGATAATGAGACAGGCATCACGCATGCTTAAAGTACAAAAGGAGTTTTCTATATTGTGAAGCATGTAATATATATATATAGAGAAAATGTTACATGGCACAGCTTTGTTTTGTAATGCACCTTCCTGACTTAATATCTATACTTCTATGCCACTATTTTGTTCTTGTGTCCCTGGTTTTATGGTGAGCTCTTGAAAAAGAGACTAGTTACCACTAAGGTGTGTCAGAAGAGGAAATATTGTTTGAAGGGACTTACTTAAAAAATCATCTTTGATGCAAGACAGTGCATTTACACAGATCATTACTAGTACTTTCTGTACATTCTATCTAACCAGGATTAAATGCAATACTTAATTTTATTCTACTTCTAGGTAAAAAGAGTTCTGGGTGTTCATCGGTAAATAAAGACAAAATGGTGACCATATGTTCTAATAAGAACTAATAGTGCCAAGTGGTGAGTGCTAAAATAAGTATTAAAGCTTATCCTGAAAGGTTTAAGCTATACAGTCAAGATGAAAATATTACACAATATAATCATATAGGCTTGGAAGTGTGCTAAAATAAGATGTTCCTTCTTAGATGGATAGGATATCCTCATTTATAAAGAGGGAAAAAAGGGGGGAGGGAGAATACAGCCAATCCTGGTGCATTAACTCTTAAAATGCATGAGTAAATAGAAATACACAGTGACCTCTCACCTTCTTAGGTGCCCTAGACCTGAGAATATGGAGTCTGAGAAGCGTTTCGCCGGTCTGGTCCAGCTTTATCCATCTGTATACTATCAATCTAGTTCATCTTCTTCTAAGCTTCGTCTTCTTTTCCCTGGTTACATAGGGAACATGAAATTGTCTTTGTATCTTTCTTTCATCTGCCTGTGCCAAAAATCCTCATCGTTTGGCAGTTGTGTGAGAGGATGGAATCTGTTGTGTGTGGGGAGATCCCTATCTGTTCTTTCGGGTGTCCTCCCTCTAATGGGTTGGGGTTCTCTGTAATTTTGTTTGGTATGCTGTAATTCCCTCAGTATTTTAAGCAAGTTTAAGATTAGCACTAAAACAACTAAGGGAGGATAAATCTATAGTATAACTATAATCAATAGTCATTAAACCTGCTGATAAAGGTGGGGTATTGGGATACTCGATATTGAGGACTACACGAATGATTCACTTAGACTACACAGGGATGATAAAACTTATCGCACTTTAAATAAAGACCCAACCAATGACATCAAATTAAGTTACCATAATTTAATCTAAAAAGGAAAGTCGTTAGTAGTATTGAACCAAAAAGAATATAAATTCTTGTGTTCCTTAACCCAAAATTCCTGTCTTTTATTATCTCCCCAAGATACATAAGAATCAGGATAAGCCCCCTGGCAGACCCATAGTCTCCGGGATAGGATCAATATCGAGTAAGCCATCACAGTACATAGATAAATGCCTCCAATCCATTGTGTGCACAAAATGGGGGCACAAAGTAGGCTTTTTAGTACCCACTCAACTGCTCTACACTGGCAGGGTTAGCCTAGGTCTCATTGCTTTTTGTAACCCTTTTCTCTCTTCTGTCATCATTGAGTCAACTTGCTGGCAATAGCTTATCAGAAAAGCTAATGATTAACCTTATTGACTGCATTATCACACTTTGCTTCCAATAAGATGGTGTCTATAATGGTATTTTGACTACAAATCCAAATCGTAGAGAGTGGTACACATTATTATGTATCAAATGTTTAAAATTAG